TACACTTAAATCATTTCAGTGAAGACACTGGATGCCTACAAGAGGGCATCTCCCGTCAGCATAGAGCAGTGGTTCTCCACCAGGGGTTCGTGTACCCCTGGGGGTATGCACAGATCTCCCAGGGGGTGCATCGGCTTATCTAGATATCTGCCTAGCTACATGAAAAGCACTAGCAAAGTCGATACAAACTGCAATTTTATACAATGATTTGTTTATACTGCTCTATATACTACACACTGAAATGTAAGAACATTTATATTTCAATTGATTTATTTTATAGCTGAATGGTAAAAATGAGAAAGTCAATAGTTTTTCACTAATAGTGTGTTGTGACATTTTGTATTTTTGTGTCTGATTTTGTAAGCAAGTAGTTTTTAAGTGAGGTTAAACCTGGGGATACGCAAGACAAATCAGACTTCGGAAAGGGGTACCATAGTCTGGAAAGGTTGAGAGCCACTGACATAGATATGCAAACTAGATACCAGGAATTTAGGCTTGAATAGAGACTGGGAATGGCTGAGCCATTACAAACATTGAATCTATCTCCCCTTGTAAATATTCTCACACTTCTTATCAAACTGTCTGTACTTGGCTATCTTGATTATCACTTCAAAAAAATTTTCTCTTACTTAATTGGCCTCTCAGAGTTGGTAAGACAACTCCCACCTGTTCATGCTCTTTGTATGTGGGTATATATCTCCTCAATATATGTTCCACTCTATGCATCCGAAGAAGTGGGCTGTAGTCCACGAAAGCTTATGCTCTAATAAATGTGTTAGTCTCTAAGGTGTCACAAGTACTCCTGTTCTTTTTGCGGATACAGACTAACACGGCTGCTCCTCTGACACCTGACATAGATAACCCACCTCCCCAGGGGGGGTTCGCGCACTCCAGATACATCTCTCAGGGCAGGTCTAAACTTCAACTGTGCAGCAGCACAAAGGCACCGGTGCAGCTGCGCTGCTGTAGGGTTTCAGTGAAGACGCTCGTTAATCAACCTTTGTAAGAGGGGATAGCTAGGTCCGCAGAAGAAGCCGTCCTGTCGACAGAGCGCTGTCCACACTGGGGTTAGGTCAGTACAATGGCATCGCCCAGAGGTGTGGACTTTTCACATCCCTGCGCGACAGAGCGATACGGCTGTATGTTTATCATATAGAATTGGCTTCAGGGGTGTGGATTTACCCCTGAGAGATATCACTCTACCCCTGTAAGTCCCTAGCGTAGACCAGGCCTCGAGTGTCACAGCTGCTGCAACCGGTTGTTCAGCCTAAATGGTTAGCAGAAATGACCCGTTAACATCTCTGCAGTCATAGAACAGTGGGGGCGGGGAGGATAATGGGCTGCAGATTATTGTAATAAAGCTAAGCCATAAATCCAGTGTCTTCCCTGCTCTGCCACAGGTTGTGTGTGTGACCTTGGACCTCCCTGTGTCTCCGTTTCCCATCTGTAAACTGAAGGGTGGTGTGATAAGTGCATTAAAGACTGAAAAGCTTTGAGATCTTCGGGTGCATGAGGAGACTAAAGGTTTTGAATAGCTTCGGTCACACCTAAAGCATCGTTTGTGATGTAGATGTACTCAGAGAGGCGTCTCCATATCTCCCAGGCCAGGCCCTGCCTTCTGGCATCCTACCCATTCCGACTGCATGGCCCTGACCTTCCCCAGGGTCTATCTGCATTTGCCTGGGGGAGGAGAGAGCTGATTTCTTTCTTTGATCACCTCCCTTCTCTCTGTCTGGAATGCTGCTCATGCTAGCCTATGCTTGCTCGCAGGCCCATCTAGTGTGCCATCTCTGGGAGTGGCAGAAAACAATGTATAACCAGGGGGCACAGTGTGAGGAATGGTTCTGAGACCCCCTTTCCCTGCTGGAGGTGTGTTCATTTATAGCTGGTACAGTTGGGTGCATCTAACAGCCAGACACCCCCAAAATTCCTCTACCCTAGAAATATCCATAAAACCAACCCCCACTGCAGGCAGATACAGCCAGTCCCATTCACCCCCCGCAGCCCTTGGGGAACAGGGAAAGCTTCGGCAAAATCCTTCCCCGCGGGAGGGAGAAATGAAAGAAGTTCTCACCAGGAGGCGCCCCTGAGACTTACAACTCTCTCTGCTTTCAGTTTCATTTCTCTGCTGCCTGCTCAGGCAGTGCTGTGTGCAGGGTTTTATAGGTGTGTCGGTCCCAGGAAATGAGAGGGACAAGGTGGGGGAGGTCATATCTTTTATTGGACCAACTCCTGTCGGTGAGAGAGAGAAGCGTTGGAGCCACACAGAGCTCTTCTCCAGGTCTGGGCAAGGTCCTCCGAGCGTATGTGGTGTCTCTCATCCAGTGCACTAAAGACCCCAATAACAAGGGCGGGGGTGAAACCAGACACTCACAATGCTCTCGAATGAGCTCAGACAGGAAAATGATAAAAGACAGGAGGGGGGACACTTTCCACAAAGCGATCTCTCTATACCTAACTTATCAGTCCTCATCCTCCCTTAGGCTCCCTAAGCGAGTCAGGGGCCAGAGTAGAATTAACCTGTGGCTAGATCTCTGGAAATAGTCCCCCCAGTTAAGCTCCAGTCCTGGGGTTCAGGTCCCTCCGACCTGTCTGTACACCCCACTTCCTTACACTCGAGTGCCCAGGCCCTCGACTTCTGGACACAGTGCACACAGATTTGCTGCCTCCATGGAAGCAGCGTCCCGCAGTTCACTCGCTTTGCCTCCGCTCAACACTCTCCTTAGCACCAGGCACTTCGCTGATATACACATTTCTCTGACAAAGCTTAAGACAGAGAGTCAAATAGAAGCGAGTCGAAGGATGGAAAACTCCTGGTTACAGATAAAAGAAACATCTAAACTGCACTCTAGAGCCGCTACTTATGACTGAGTTCCTTTCCTGTCTAATGAAGTAATTCTCACCCAATGGGCAGTCCAGACAGCGCTTGGCCAGGCGAGAGAGCTGGCGTCCACGTTTCTTAAGACACCCACCCTGGCAGAGTGTCCCCTCCATAATGGATGTCATCTGTGGCCTTCTGTATTCTGGTATCAGAGGGGTAGCCGTGTTAGTCTGAGTCTGTAAAAAGCAACAGAGGGTCCTGTGGCACCTTTGAGACTAACAGAAGTATAGAGAGCATAAGCTTTCGTGGGTAAGAACCTCACTTCTTCTTGCATCTGAAAGGTGCCACAGGACCCTCTGTTGCTTCTGTTATACAGTTCCAGACCTTTTGTCTCTTTTCCTAACCTGGGGCATTTTGTCACCTTCCGTTTGTCCCAATGTTCTCCCCTTTTGTGCTCTGTAAAGGGCCTGAGCCTGCCCCTTGTCTAGACTGTAAAAGCTTGGCTGGGCTGAGAGATGTCAGTTGTTCTCCCTCTGCACTGAGTTCGCTCCCAGAACCACCTCCGCCTAGGTGAGCAGTTTCACCTCCAGCAGCTTTGGAGCACATCCCCCCATGTTCCATCACTCCTACAATATTTTCCATCCATACGTCCCCCGATAACTACGACAACCAGCGAGTTCTTAGCTTTCGGCACCGATTGCACATGGCCCCCTTCGCGGAACTAGTGATCACAGGGGAGACGTGCCACGTCTAGGCACGTCCCGGGGTGTAGACTCGTAACTGTGTACCCTCCATCCTGAGTCACAAGCCGTGCCTGGGGTTTAGTCATTCCTGCCAATCGAAAAGAGAAACCATTTCTCAAAGGAATGGAAGAGCCACAGACTGGGTCACTGGTAATCGCACAGTTTTACTGTTCCTGGTACAGAGCGCTCCCCTTGGAAACACGCCCTCCGTAAAGGACGAGCAGAGCAGATGCTAGTTCCGAAAGGTTTCATCCTCTGTAAGCAGTGCGCCTGACTCCCCACTGCTGAGTTTTGTAATTTACAACTGATCCATGGCACAGCACATGCAACTGCTGGTTTGAGTGGAGAATTCTGATTCGGCGGCATCGCACACCTGCTTTGCACAAGTGCCAATGACAGCACCGGGTGCCAGGTAGGAGGGGGAATCAGGTGAGCGTCCAGAGACGGGTCAGTGTATAATAAAAGTTTTGAACTGCACAGCAGCAAAATAGTCCAGCTGCCCCCTCTCCAGCCACACTCTACGGTAGCCAGAGGCAGAGAGGTCGGTGCCCCAGAGACTGTAGCCAAGTCTGGCACAGGAACAGATCTGCCCTGGGGCAACCATAGCTGGTACAGACCTCCTTGATGGATACTGGAGTAAAGCGCTAGACTTATCCCTGGCTTAACGACTTTTCTTTTGAAATGGGGAGGAGAGGGGCATGGGGGGGACAGAGGGAGTTCAGCTGAGAGGGAAGGAGGATTGTGCACCCGGCCAGGGTGTAACTGTTTTCATTGCATAATGTGTATTTCACGGGGGCAGCTGCACCCAATCAGGACCCGGGGCAGGAGGAAGCAACTTCAGCTGTGCAAAACTAAAGCCATCCCATCCCTCCTCTCCCCCATAGCTCCATTGTCCTTCAGACCCAAGTCAGCAGCACTTGGGCTGGCTGCAGGCTGGGAAAGGGAGGGAAAGCTGCACCCCTGTGAGAGGCCAGAATGAGACAGCATGCACAGCAGATTGTGTGAACATTTAAAATGTCAACTGGGCTCCTCCGGCTTGTATGTGCCCAGAGGCTCCTTGGGCTTGGCTTGTTCTGGACTGGGGAAGAACAATAAGAAGTGACAGACTCTCCCCAATGCACCACATTTCACCCCCAGAGCATTGTGCAGAGCGGTGCCCCTCCACCTCCTTCCTTACACAGGGACTGGAATAGTTAACAATGGGGACATTTAAATTTTCCTCCCGGCTGAGCAGAGCAGTTCACCTCTCCGAGCTAGTGTTCCAGGCTCTTTGCAGACTCAGTTACAAATGTGAAATTAACATGAGGTTTTCCCCCAACCATAGCAGCTAGAGACTTGCTTCTTTTCAAAGGAAATCAGATTCTGAAGCACTAGATAGCTTCAAAGCCGCGCTAGTGCAGCATACCAGCGTCCCAGCTCAGCCCCAATGCCGGCGGGCTGAATGCGGCAGCTTTATAGAAAAATCCTAAACCAAGAGGTCTAGGTTACAAATGAAATTCTCAAAACTCTCCCTCTCCCAGTGGCATGAACAGGTATCACCCCGATTCCTAGAGCTGAGAGACTTGTCCTTGGTCACAGAGGACAGCTACTGTATCCTTGAAACTCCATTAATAGGGAAAGGCTGTAAGTCAAAGGGGCATTGGACATTGATATGAACAACAACAAGATGCAGGATTGTAATAATAAATACTAAAAGCAGAGTTTGGGAAGAGAACCTCCACCAGCTAACCTCCAGCGGGAGTCAGGAGATTTTCAAAGGGAGGCAGATTATCCCACATCTTCCTACTGCAGGATTTCTCACACCTTCCTCTGAAGCATCTGGTACTGGCCACTGCTGGAGCCGGGATGCTCGTCTGGACAGACCTTGGGGCGATCCGGTGTGAAATGCCTGTGGACTCGGGAATGTGCGGAGTTGTGTCTGGAACCAGGGTGGTGTGGGAGTGTGATATCAGCCAGGAGGTGTGATGAGCACTGCAGAGGGTGCAGTGCATGGGGGTGGGGAGGGGGCAGTTTGTTTCCTATTGCTGGTAACAGCTAAAAGGTACCTTTAAACTGAGGAATCTGAGTCCTGGTGCCCCCCCAAGCACCTCCTCCAAAGCCCAGTTCTCCCACCCAGACACTGCTGCGTTCCCTCCACCCCTTTGCAGACCATGTCAGCCCATAATTCCCTTTCTGGACTATCATTCCCTTGTCCATAATGTCACTAAAGTGCTAGAGCCCTCACTAAGCCCCCGAGATCAGCTCTGGCCAGAGAGCCCAGCCAGACTCGACAGGTCTCAATCTGGCCCAGCATCTGTAATGCCTGTACTCTCCAGGCAGCCTGCATAGACCGTCGAGGGCTTGGCTGGATTCTCCATTGCCCGTTCCTGCTCCGATTGTCCCCTGATATTCAGACACCCTCCACCCCATCCCGCTGCCGCCACCACCTTCCCCAAAAGCCAGGGCGATTCAGTGGAAACATAAACCAAGGAGGGTACAAGGGGCCCTGGAAGGCAATGTCCCCTTCCCCTGGGGGGGCAGTGCTATCCCCGGAAACAGTAAGCTTCCCACCACCAGCTAGCAACCAGCTCCTACAATGACAGATGGCTCAGTGCTCCCCGGGACACAGCAATGGAGAAACAAGCCCAAAGGGGCGAGACCAGGTGTTCGTCCCCTCCCCAGATAGCATCACCACGGCTGTATTACCCTAAAGTGCACTCGGAACTACCCAGGGCAGGGGTGAGGGGGTGGCACGTGTCCAGAGCATCCAGGAGGTGCCAGTCCCAGGCAAGGAGACCCTCCGCCACCTGGGCGGGCAAACGGGCAGAGGCTGCCGATCCTCACTGGATGAGCCCGGACGCTGGCAGCATGTTCCCGCTGGCGCCGTGAAGCAGGACGCGGCACCTGCCATCCAGCTCTGCGCCGTGGCCCTTCTCTGCAGGAGACGCAGGGGTGGGGAAGGAGAGAGGAAGGCAAAACAGGGACATTTAAAGCACAGGCCCTGGCTCCGCTGAGATGCCCTGACAGACTCAGGGGCATTTAACTTTCCAGAGGCTGAATTCCAGCTCTGAAGAAATAGAAGGAATCTCTCTTAGGGCAGCCAGGACCTTCCCCCCTTCCCTCCCCCCCGCCCCACTTCTGGGGGTCTCCAGATCTATCTAACCCCAGAAGCGCTTCCTCTGGTAACCACCAGAGGGATTCAATTCAACAGTCTCCCCAGAGCCCCAGTCAGCAGCAGCTCCTAGTCTGAACACTTGGGGCATTTCTCTGGAGGTTACGGCGCGTTGCTGGTCCCATGCCAGAGGCAGATTAGCCTTCCCCAGCCCTACAGAGCGCAGGGCCCAGGCCTCACTTACCCGCCTCCTCCACGCTGGGGAAATGTTGGAATCCCTCCAGATCTGCAGACAGCAAGACTTGGAGAACGTGGCCCTGAGAGGAGAGGGGACAAGAGGACAGGATGAGTGTGGTGGGGACATTCCAGCTTCCATTGCTCACAGAGACAGCAAAGACTTCCAGGCGTGTGTCCTGGGAGGCTGAGGAAGGGAGGCTGGGCTGAGTTGACCCCAAGAGCTCAGTCCCTACGTAGGAGCAGCACAGATGACAGCTGCAGCCCCTCCCCACCGCTTGATCCATATGAGTGAACCCCGGATCCTGCAGCCACTGTAGGAGCAGCCCCCCCACTCTTGAGTGGGCAGGTGCAGCCCATGAGGACGGCAGGTCTCAAGATGCCATGCTCCATCTTGACCTGAGCGGCCAGGCCGCAATGCATGCTGGGTACTGGCATCAGCTGTGTTAGTGGCAAGTTAGGTGCAAGCGTCAGGTTCTTGGCAAATTCCAAGTGCAGCCCCAAGTTCTAGAGCTCCCTCCGGGGAAGGAAATTCGGCTGAGCTAATCTGGTGACCAGCCCATTGGTTTTGGAAGCAGCTGCATGACAAGTGCCCATGTCCCTGGTCTGACCTGACAGCCAGACGGCCCCCCCCACTTTCCAGACACACCTGCAAGCCAGAGAAGGTCAGGGTGACGCCCCTTTTCTGGAACTCCTGCAGCAGGTCTGCCAACCCCATCACCACGGTATAATCCAGGCTGCTGACGTGGGTGCAGTCCAGGATGACGCAGCGTGGTGGAGACACTGAGGACGAGAACACCCTGTGGTCATCTCACTGGCATTTCCAGCACAACATTCACCAGCCACCTGGGCAGGAAACTTAAAGCAGGAATCGATCTTTCTGGGCCTGGCAGTTTGGCCAAGCCTCTGCCAGTCCTGCTCCGCCCAGCCAGCCCTTTACGCTGCGAGCGTGCTGAAGGCCCGACAAGCCTGAGAGAGAGTGAAGGATAAAGCCTCGATAGCTGCATCAACGGGTCCTGCCCAGGCAGGGTGAATCCCAGTCCAATTCCAACTAAGGCTTTCCCCAAGAGCGCTTCCCTACAAGCCGCAGGGAGAGGGCTCTCAGGCTGATCACAGGAGGTTTAGGGTCAGCTTCACGGGCATTTGCCTGAGGAGTTGATCTGAATTTGGAGTTGTATTTATCCAGGAGCGCCGAGGCTGACAAAGGCCCCACTGCGGAGCAGCCGTTCTGGCCCCGTTTATATTCAGAGGCTGCAGCAGGGAGGCCAGCGCTGTCCACAAGCTACAGCATTGAAACAAGGGTGTGTTTGGCTTGTAACAGGCTAGACTGCACCGTACCTGCCAGAGCCCATCTGTGCATGGCATCTCGGAGGGACTCAACAGCGGGGAAATGCAGACCGCTCGCAGGCTGCATGAGAAGCACCCCGTGCTCTGACAGCTGCAGGAGAACCAAAGGGGAAGGATGAGAGGTGGCTGCGCTGGGTAACGTCACATGCTCCAATTCTCAGCCCAGAGCCGGTGTCCCCCTCACAGTGGAGGCGGGTGGGTAGGTAACACCATTGTCCCTCATACCGAAGGGGCGTGTGATGGAGCCTTCACCCCGTCTCTCACCACACACCCATGACTCCCCCCCAACACCACAGACAGGTTGGGGTGTGTGCACGTGCGTGTGTGTGCACACACACTGGAAATGGAGGGGCTCAAACACCATTAATGCTAAGAAAAGCTGCCCACACCATTCTGAGCTGCCTGCGTTAACCATTTCCCTGCGTCCCTTGGAACGGCTCTCTGCACCATAGCTGGGGCAGATGAGGGCCATGGGGGTGTTACGAGGGGATGGGGCAGGAGCAGGAGAAGGGGAGGCAACACAATGCCCCCGGCTATTGCTCCAGGTAGATGCCTATGGCAATAGTGCCATCCTCCCACATCTCCGGGAACTCCACCCCACACAAGGAGGTCTGAGCCACACCTTGATCCTGGGCCTGGCAATGGTGTAGAGCAGGAGAACGCCAGAGACCAGAATGCCGGCCACGATGCCGTACTGAACCTCCCAGAAGCAGAGCAGGAACGTCACACACAGCGGCACAAGGTCCAGCCCTGAGAGCGAGACCCCAGTCATTGCCTCGTCCCATCCGTTCACCCTCCCACTCAGCAGCTGTTCCGCAAAGCCCCTGGAGTCAGCCAGCAGTCCGTGGAGCTGGGGGAAGGGGAATGGACGAGGGAAAAGAAGCCCGTTCGCATCCGTAGAGGGGGAGCAGAGATGCCTTTGCGCATGGCCCATCACAGGCCGGAGGCTGCTGGTGGCAGGAGAAGGTTCAGATTGGGGGGCAGGAAGCCAGGGTTTGGTGCTAACACCACATCCGAACATCTAGGGGCTGCCTGTGTGCTTCAATCCCAACACCTGGGCGAGCACCACATGAGGGCTGCCAGAGATGGCGGGAGGGGAGGGGAGGGGAGGGGAGGGGAGGCTCAAAGGTCTCATCTCAAGAAGGGCAGAGTCTGGAGCCGGGTCAGTGAGCGGGAGAACACCCAGCCAGACTCCCCAGGCTGGGACACATGGATGTGTTACAGCCGCCTGGAAACGTGAAATGCTGCCTCGGCACTGAATATTGTCATGTCAACTGTCCCCTCTTGGTCCAGGGCACCCCCAGATGTCGCCTTTCTGTACACCAGGGCACGGAGCGTTCAGGGGAGGGCGGGAACGATGTTACATTCAGGTGTGGCGCACACGCAATCAAATGGTGTCAAGTATCAGAGGGGGAGCTGTGTTAGTCTGGATCTGTAAAAAGCAACAAAGTCTGTGGCACTTTATAGACTGACAGACGTATTGGAGCATGAGCTTTCGTGGGTCGTCAGACGCTCACGCTCCAATACGTCTGTTAGTCTATAAGGTGCCACAGGACTCTCTGTCACTCTTTACAATCAAATGGCACTCTCAGATCCTGCGTAACTGGCACGGGTCCGGCAGAGGAAGCGCCTAGGCTGAGAAGAAGAGCTTTGTGTAGCTCGGATGCTGTGTAGCTTGGAGCTCTGTGTAGCTATGTGTAGCTCGGAAGAGCTCTGTTGTCTCTCCCCCTCAGAAGTTGGTCCAATGACAGATATTACCTCACGGATATTTTAACCAGGTGGAGGTTATACCAAATCCCACCCTTGTCAGAGTATCGCCAATAGCGGCCTACAGGTGGCGCTGGATCCCTTCGAACGTCCCCCTATACTGAAACCGTGCAAAGAGCAGGAATTCGGAGCCCCGGGCAGGCATGCAAAGCAGGTTGCTCGTGCCCATACTTTTAACCCGCCACAGTGTTCTGAAGATCCTGGCGTCAAACATCGGGGCCACGGCGCAAATGATCACAGCAGCCAGAGCCGCTTTGGGAATGTAATAGAAGAGCGAGGTCAGGTAGGCCAGGGAGAGCAGGACCAGGGTCCCTGGGGAGACACAAGGCAGACGGTGAAACACGGCCAGCTGACCCCGAGCCACGGCTGGGCAGAGTCACCCCAGCCTCTCTCCCCGTACACACACTCAGCCCAGCCTCACACGGGTGAGGAGAACAGGATGTAAAACCCTGGGGCGGGACGGGTCCAGAGGTGGCCCTTGGAATGGCAGGGGAAGCACCAATGGAGTCCCTGGGTGAGAGCGGGGCACCTACCTGTTATCAGCCCCCCTGCCGGGGTGCACACGCCCGTCTGTGCATTCACCGCTGTCCTGGAACACAAACCAAATGCACCGTTACAGGCCGTGCGAAGGCTCCGGGCAGAAGGCACGAAGGCCAGCTCCTTCCAGCTCCCCTGAATGAGGAGAGCAGAGTGGGGCGGAGGGATCAGTGCTGGCTCCCCAGAGTGATGGGGGAGCTGCTGGATGGACTCGGTGTCATAAGAGAGGGGACTGGGGACAAGCCCCACTCTGAGCTGCTGTCTGTCTGGAGACTAGCCCCTCATTCCCCCCCCTGACTTTATACATCACCCGGGTAGGAACAAAAGCAAACCCTGAGGGTCCAGGCACTGCCGCTGACAGGGGCAGGAGAGAAAAGGGCCCCTCTCTACTGACTGGGATCCGAACCCAGGCCCTGACTGGGCTCACCCAGCCCATTATCAAGGATCCCCCATGTCCTGACAAGGCCGGCCAGCCTCAGTGGTGCTACTCACCGCCCAAAGCTGCCGGTGACAGGGTAGGAGGAGACGAAGGAGCCCAGGAGGTTGGTGAGGCCTGTTGTGGGGGGGAGAGAAGGGATGTTGTGCATGGTGCAGTCAGGAGGGGAGTCAAGATGCTGCCTGGGGTGGGGGGGCAGAGTGGGCCCTCTGTCCCATCTGCTCAGTGAGGGGCAGCCACCACCAAGGCCCCTTCCAACGAGCAGACGAGGGTCCACAGCAGATTCAGTCCCCAGGCTGGACACCCAACCGCGCCCCAGCCAGGCTGAGGAGAGGCTCCCCCCACCACACACACCATGTCCTGGCAATCCCCCACCCCCTGGCTGAGCTCTTACCCATCGCCAGCAGCTCCTGATTGGGGTCAATTCTGTAATTGTTCTGCGAGGCTGAAAGAAGAAAGAGGTGACTGGGCAGAACTCCTCACCCCTTTATCCCAGAGCTTCCCGCAAACCCTGTGCCAGCACCCAGTGGGCGCGGGGGCAGCAGGGCGCATGGAGGGGCGTGTCAGCCTTTGCGGGGGAATGACCTGAGTCACAGGCCCCACGGGACCCCTGGGAAGTGGCTCATTTCACCACCTTCGCCCTGCCGGTCACGCTCCCTGTACCTGGAGAGCAGTAACAGGCCTTACCAACACTGAGCTGCCTTGGCCATGCAAAGCCTGGGCGGCGAGGGGAACCTCCCTACCCCATCCCCCATTCGCTGCCTCACCAGGGCAGTAAACTACAGGGGGAATGCTCAATTGTGGGGGAATGTTCCATGTGATCCCCCCACCCCATCCACTGACCCCACACTCCAGGGGACAGTCCCCAGGCACTTCCTTCCTGCACCCCCTGCGCTTTTCTTTGACATGTGGAAGGTCCCACCCCAGGGTCCTTCCCCACCCCCGCCCGGTGGCAGCTGACTCCAGACCCTTCCCCATGTGAGGAGCGAAGGCTCTGGCAGCCCGGAACGCAGCCCGGCAGACCCGACACCATACCGAAGGCCTTGGCAATAGCGACCGTCTCCAGCAAGCCCATGAGCGGCACCACAGCCAGTCCAGCTCCCAGGTCCTGGGGAGGGGATGGGAGAGGCCAGCATGAATCTCCTGGCAGAGAGCGCTGCAGACGCAGGAGATGGTGCCCTCTGCACTGTCCCCCCACCTCTGAGGGCAGCAGGAAGACAAGTCTCAAGAGGAAATCCCCCACGATGCAGCTCAGCCGGGCGAGGGTAGACAGGACCCCTCACTCCACCAGCCCTGTGCACATACATGCTGGAGGGCAGGTCACCCCAAGGCTCCATGCATCCAGCCCTGTCTGCTCCCCAACTGCAGGGAAAGGAGCAAAGGGGAGAACCTCCAATTCCCATCGGAATCCCTCCTCTCTCGAGCTTGCTCAGCCATTTAAAGGTACGGTACAGAATTAGAGCGCCACCCTGGGAAGCTCCCACCTGCTCCCACCACCCCAGCACCACTCACCTGCACCATCTCGCTGAAGGGCACAGTGCTGTTGGCTTCGGCCTTGGAGAAAGGTGGCAGCTGGAAGGGAGGGAGCCCCCGGGGCGTCTCCCCAGTGAGGGTGAACGGCTGGGAGCCCATCACCTGGAAGGAGTAGGCGACCAGGCCAGCAAACAGGACCACGAGTGCATTGCGAGCTACATCAGAGAGGAAATTACCGCGGTGAAAGCATCACTCCGAGCCCAGTGGGGATGGGCACAGTGGAGAGACACGCACTGGGGGCTCTTTCCAGCCAAGGTGGACGCCTGCTGTCCACAAGAGCATGGGCAGCAGCAGAACGAACCTCCCACCAGCGGACCCCAGCCCTGCCCTGGAGAGACCCACCCTGCACGGGGCGTTCTGTCTCCACAGCCCACTCAGTCCTGGCCCTTCCTGTGGGGGCTGCCCACAAGGGGCGAGGCACTGCCAGTCAGGACAGTGGTTTGGACTGCTGCCCCTCCAGGGGACAGACCCATCTCACACAAGCAGGGCCGGCTCCAGGCACCAGCTTAACAAGCAGGTGCTTGGGGCGGCCAAGGGAGAGGGGCGGCATGTGCGGCAATTCAGGGGTGGCAGGTCCCTCACTCCCTCTAGGAGCGAAGGAGCTGCCGCCGAACTGCCGCCGCCGATCGCGGCTTTTCTTTTTTTTTCCCCAATTGCTGCTGCCGGTCGCGATTGCAATCGCGGATTTTTTTTTTTTTTGCTTGGGGCGGCAGAAATGCTGGAGCCGGCCCTGCACACAAGGGCCCCCAAGCAGCCGTCCTATTGGAACAACTTGTGGGCCCTGCCAACACGGGCCCGATTCGGGCCTGGTGGTGAACGGCCCCACGGCCCATCACATCCCCCAAGAGCCAGCCTGGGCCAGAGCCCTCTCCCAGCAGGGATTTGCTGCAGACCCACAACGTGCTGTTTCTTCCTCTTTGCAGGGTCCTCATTTCTCCTCATCACCCTCGGACCCTGGGCTAACTCCGGGTGCTGCCGGGAGGAAGCAGACATCAGTCAGAGCTGGGCAGGGCTGTCAACCAACCTGTTGCTGTGGCCCAGACGATAAGACGACTGATCCTGATGGACAACAGCTCCACCCGATGGATCCTGGGGAAGTGGCCTTTCATCGCCCTGAGCCCCACAAGCACGGCCAGGCAGACCAGCCCCAAGAGAGCATCCCCGGCCCTGCAAACAGACCAAATCTGGGACATGTCGCAACACACTGCAACACTACTGCAAAGGCTTTCTGTGGTGGGGAGGGCCCAGCCCAGCCCACAGCTGTGAGCGAGGAAACTCGTCTCTGCCCCTATCAGATCAGTTCTCAGGGAACAGGGAGAAGGACCCAGGTCAGAAACCCAACACAAATCAGTGGAGCAGCATCCACTTCCAACCGGAACTGGCCAGGGGCAACCATTCCCTCCCCCCCGTTTCAGCCCCTCACCGCACTGCTGCAAAGGGCATGTAGCTCACACGGGCAGAAACAAATGGGGCTGCTCTAAAGCCAGGGAGCTGGCCACAGAGGAGGGGGCTGCAGTGAGGAAGCCTGCAGCCTTGATCCCTGATACTGGGGGGGAGGAAGCTGCCCAGGGAAGGGGCAGTGAGGGCTGAGAGAACAGACCTGAGCTGCTGGGTCGAGGGCCCCCGGGTTGGAAGCTGGTGCAGAGGGGTGGCCGGGGTTCCCGTACAAAGCACTGTGGGAGGGGTGCAGTCAGCATAATGGATAGGGAGAGACCCTGGTGAGACCCTGGAAGGTGGGCTTGGCTGGAGGGTTAACCCACAAAGGAGAGGCACAGTGGCTCCTGACCAGCAAGATGGGGACCGCAGAGCGAGTGAATGTGTCAAGGTGCTGGGCGACTGCAGGATGGGGCGTAGACAGTGGTGAGGTAATTCCCCACATCCCAAAGCAATCCAACATGACGGAGGGCATGGAGTACAGCTTTGTGTTGGCACAGGGCACTGGGGTTGGGCAGGGTCTGCTTGTGCCTGGTGTGATCTGACGGATGACGCAGCAGGCCGCTGCCCCTTATAGTCCCCGTGCCTTTCCCAGCCCTGCCTTCCCCCCACCTCCACACCAGCCACGCCAGGACGTTGGTGGAAGGAATGATCTAGGAAGAGCACAGAGATGGCTGCTCACCTGGTCTCCCCGATTCTTTGGAAGGTGTGATACACCTGCAGGAAAAACTGTCGTGGGATGTTGTGCAGCCCCAGGATGTTCTGCGCAAACAAACAAAGGCCCTGTGAAAGCCCAGCACAGCCCCAAGTCCCAGATGCACCTGACAGGTACCCCAATGCCAGACCAAACAGCGTGGCATTGGCCCCTCCCCTTCCCCATGGCGCTGGCCCATGCAGTGTTTTTTGTGGCTGCTACCTGGGAGCTTTCATCAGGGACCAGACCACGTAGCTGTGTGCAAACCTCTGGCCAAGGAATTTTCTCCAGATCCTTCCCCCACCCCTAGGAAACTTTGGAGGCTCAGTGGGGAAAACAGTTCCCATTCTCCCAGATGCCTGGTGCTGAGGCAGCTCCAGCCCCAGCCCCATGGAGACAGAGTCCTGCTTCCCATGCAAGCAGACAGGCTCTCCCAAATCTGGTATTCAAACTGGGGTGTTTTCCGTGACCCACGACTGTCCAGCTGCCACCTCTCGAATTCTCACTTGTCACCAGAGACTGACGGTGATTGTGGCTAAAAGAGCTCAGAGGTTCCTCCCAGAAAGAGCACTTGATGAAACCATAAGAGATTAGCTGATGTTTTCTGTTGTCTAGCGCCTTGCAAAGCATATGCTGACCCACGTCCCTCTCTGATTACGGTCAACCACAAAGGAAATGTGGCAATACCTAAAATCACCACAAGGAATGAAGAGGATTGGCCAAGCCATGGACCAGTCAAACCTCACAGCCAATCCCAGGCCCCACACCTCCCCGCAGAGAAAAATCACCCAGCACAACAGTCAGATGGTACAGATTGTCCCCGGCCGCAGCATCCCCATAACCCCCGTCGTCAGCAGAGAGGAGGACAGTGTATTTACAAGGGAAGCATACAGCTTGGTTTAGCTTTGTCCACACAGCGTAACTACCAGGTCCCCCAGGAAGCCCAGCCAATGGGCAGAACATCACCAGCACTGAGCATGCTCTCAGCTCTGGGAGGGAGGGAGCGAGGAACCCACTATGGGTCACCAGCATGGCAGCGCAGGGCACTCACCCCATCCCACCAACCTTGCAAAATCCTTCTAGTGCACTCATCTGGCACAACTCTTTGTTTGTCTGAGGGGCCAGCCAAGTATCCTTCATGTTTCCACTGATATCACTGTGCTGAGCTAAGCAGACGGTGCACCTGGGCCAGTGAATTTTTATGACAACTTTGCAAGGCTGCATTAGGCCACTGCGCAAGTTAAACTACAGAAATGGAAAAGGTCACATGCAGGAGAAGGTCCTACCTTGACCTGGTTGAAGCTAATGGTGACCGAAGCGGCCGAGGTAAACCCTTTAATGACGGGGCAGGAAACGAAGTCCAGTAGGAAACCTGCAAGGGATGGAAATTGCTATAAGGAAGCTGCTCTCCTAGGTACACACTGCAGCATGCACACACATGCAGAGTGCAAGGCTGTACAAGTCGGAGCTGGACAACAGCAGAGACATTTCTTGCGGGGACAAGTTGCTAGACTGAGAAGCGTCATACAAAAACAAGGCCCAACCTGGCCGCAGCATCTCACCGAGGTGCAGGAGACCCATGGCTAGCTGGATACAGCCTGACAGGAAGGTCAGCAGGATGGCATAGGCAGGGTCATGGAACGCATAGGAAGAGACCAGCAGCGACATAATGGCCGTTGGACCCAGCGTCACATCTTTTGAGGTCCCCAGCAGGCAGTAGACAAAGCAGCCCATGAAGGAGGAATAGAGACCGTACTGCACAGGAACAAACAGAGCCTTCAGCACCAGAATCACAGCAACCTGGGAACATGCTCGCATCATGCCGGGAACTGGGCATTCTGAAAGGAGGGCTGGGATTGGTTAACAAAGGGTCTGGCCATGGAAGTATCCCAGAGGAACGTACTGGGTAATCTTCGGAAGAAACATCTGTAGGACGTTTGTCACCCTGATAGCTGTCCCACACACTTTCTGAAAGAGGAACATGGACGGTCCCAGGAGGCTGCCTGCCTTCAGTCCCCCAATGTGCCCTGTAGGGTGACCAGATCTCCCCATTTTATAGGGACGGTCCTGATATTTGGGACTTTTTCTTATATAGGCTCCTATTACCCCCCACCCCCGTCCCGATTTTTCACACTTGCTATCCAGTCACCTTAGTGCCCTGCCACAACCACTCACCTTGCCATGTGTTACTGCCTCGCTAACACCCACCCAGTCCCTAGCTGTTACAATCAGCAGCATTCTGCCAGGATATGCAAGCACCCCCCCACACTGTAATCACCCCCACTGCTCAGAACTCTGCATTTTTGCAGTGGCTACCATTAAAAACTTGAGATTTCCTGCGTGGCAGTATTTACAATATCCTCTGTGCTGTGACTGGGAAACGCCTCCAGTACCACGGTACATTTAGCTACTGCAGCTGGGGAACATCCAGTCTGTAGTGGCGTTGGGGGCAGGTGCTATAAAGGGGACACTATGGATTTACTCGCACATGGAAAGAGTGAGCTCTAAGCTTGGGTGTAGGTAAGGCCAGGTGAGGAGCCTGCATTGATCAGATCAGCACACGCCTATGCCAGGGACAGCCCAAGGGACGTACTTCTCAATGTCCCCAGCACTGAGGCATTGGGGTCCCTGTATGAACAGAGGAGGGGAAGGGAAACCATACTTATTGGTTGCCTCGAGAGGATTCTGCAAAGGAACTCACAACAGCTGCCTCCACCCACCCCTGGCACAACCCTCTGGGTCTAGAATCAAGCAACCCACCTGAACTGGCAGGCCGGCCACCTCGGCATAGGCCAGCGCTTGCGGCACGACCGTCAGGCCCACGGTCACGCCAGCAAGGAGATCGAGCTGCAGCCACCCTAGAGAATACTGGGGCAGCCACCTGAGGACAGGGAACCACCTCTGCACTGTGTGGTAGGAACAGCATCGTGCGGGGGCCTCTCGGTCCCGCTCTGCCATAGCAGCTTTCTTGGGGATTCAGGCCAGTGTGTAACACGCTCCAGGCTCCGCTGGGTCTGTCAGGGCACCGCTAGAATCCCCTGCAGCGGTCTCAGGGGACATGGTGACCGGGAGAAGACAGTCTCCTCAGCAGCTCTGTTCAGTAGAGTTCTCTGGTTCTCCAACATACCTGCATGGGAAGGAGGGTCAGAGACTCGGCCTATGCCGGGGAGGGATGCACGGGGCACTGTCTGTCCATTGATAGCACCAACCGATGGCCTCCTCTCCTTCTGGTCTCCTATCAAGGCCCAGACTGAGGGATGCCTCCACCTCCTCCATTCACCTGGTGAGGTCTCCTACGGCAGAGCCTTGGCCCTGGGGGCAAGTGCAGAGAACTTGCTGGGTGGAGTTTTTCTGCGCCCTAGAATGGATTCTGGCTCTCTCTCCTGGAACAGGATCCCAGAGGGTCACTGGCTAGCAGCCCTCCAGGGCAGGGAGTGGGTCCCAAGGGGCTGGCCTGGGCCAGGGCAGAGTGCTGCTCAACTGGTTTCTCTCTCTCTCTCTTTGGCAAAGAGACGGAAATAGAGAGTTTTTACACGGCGCTGCAAAGAAAGGAGTCGTCCCCCGTTCCCAGAAATGCCCAGCACCTGGATCTGGGCAGTACGTCGCCCAGCAGGGGCGAGTTTCTCTATTTTACAAAGCCAAGGGCTGAGAACAGAGGAAGACCAGCCAGGGCTAGCTGGATCCGCGGCAGGGACAGGTGGCATACCCCTCTCTACCTGTGCAGGGCCAAGGTGACAAAGACCCACGATGAGGGGCACAACAAACCTCATGTCACACAGGAATATCAACAAAGATACATTAGAACTGGAAAAGGTACAGAGAAGGGCAACAAAAACGATCAGGGGTCTGGAACAACGTCCGTAGGAGGAGTGATCAAAAAGACTAGGACCGTACAGCTGAGAAAAGAGGCGACTAAGGGGGGATACAATAGAGATCTATAAAATCATGAACGTTAGGATGGAGAAAGTGACTAGGGAAGTGTTATTTACCCCCTCACATAACACAAGAACCAGGGGTCACCTGATGAAATAAATGGGCAGCAGGTTTAAAACAAGAGGAAGGGCTGCGCTGCTCCACACCACACACCACACACACGGAACTCTTTGCCGGGGGATGTTGCGAAGGCCAAAAGTATAACAGGGTTAAAAAAAGAATTAGAGGAGTTCATGGAGGGCAGGTCCATCAATAGCCAGGGATGGCTCCTGGGCTGGCCCCGTGTCCTCAGACCCAGAGCAGGGCGAGGCTCCTGCCCCCAGCCCTGGAACAATTTGTAGGGCGGGGAGGGCTGAGAGCCATTGAACCACACAGTAAAACCCTGTCTAGGATGGAAACCACTTAAAGCCCGGGGGGCGGGGGGGGGGCAGCAGCACCCCTAGTTCCAGCCCCTATAGCCGGGAGCCCAGGGACAGGGGCTCCTCTGGGGACACTGCCAGTGGTAGCGGGCGGAGCGGTGTGGGGCGCCCCGCGGGGCCGGGGGGCAGGAGAGGAGGCGCCCGGGGGCCCTGGAGAGCTCTGGCTGCCCCGGCCCTGCTTGTCCCCCCCGCTGCCCGGCCAAGGGACCCCCGGCCCCGCACTCACCCGCGCCAGCCGCCGCCGGGCGCCCGGACCCCGGCCCGGCTCATGTGACGTGCCCGGGGCGGAGCCGACGAGGGGGCGGTATCCCCGGCCGGCCCTGCGGGAGGGGCCCGGGCTGCAGGTCGCCATGGGCCTGCGCTCGGCGCTGCTGCTGCTGCTCGCCCTGCCGCTGGGCTGGGCCGGCCGGGCCCGCAACGTGCTGCTGCTCGTGGGTGAGTGCGGACCGGACCGGGCACCTGGGGAGCGGGGTCCGCCCCCGGACCGGACCGGGCACCTGGGGAGCGGGGTCAGCTCCCGGACCGGGCACCTGGGGAGCGAGGCTCGCCCCCGGACCGGGCCAAACCGGGCACCTGGGGAGCGAGGCCCGCCCCCGGACCGGGCCGGGCACCTGGGAAGTGGGGCCCGCCCCCGGCCTGGGCACCCTGGCACCAGGGATGGCTTCTGGACTGGGCACGGGATCTGGCTGGCACCCAAAGCTAGACTCTCCTGGTACCCAGACCCCGGGAACAGCAACCAGTCCCTAGACCAGACTCCTCTGGCACCTGGACCCAGGCAACAGGGACCAGACAGCCAGACCCTGGGACGGGCACCAGCCCCCTAGACAAGCTCCTAGTGGCCACGAAATCATTAGCGGTGACTCACACCCATGGGAGCAGCTGCAAGAAGGGGATTCCGGAGTCACTGCTCTGACTAACTGCCCGGTCCCCACGGCAGCCCCTGGGACAGGAACTGCCTGAGCAGCTGGGAGCCGTGTACAGTGAGGGGCTCTGCGGCCTGGTTCACTACAACTCGTGCGCTGCTGCGGCCTGGTTCACTACAACTCGTGCGCTGCTGCGGCCTGGTTCACTACAACTCGTGCACTGCTGCGGCCCTGGGGTGGGTGTAACCGACACTGCAGGGCCCATGGCAGGGTTTGAACTCAGGCTCGCAGAACAGATGCATGAGCATTGGGCCCGTGAGCTAGAGGACAGCCTCCCCGATGGCACCTGTAGCAGACTCATTAACCTCTCCTGTGGACCAGCCGTGGGGGGATAAATACCCCCCCTCTTCTAGTGCCCCATGGGCCCTGAGCTCACAGCCTGCCCTGCTTCTCCCTGCTGCACAGCGGACGATGGCGGCTTTGAGAGCGGCGCGTACAACAACTCCGCCATCAACACCCCCAACCTGGACGCCTTGGCCGGGCGCAGCCTCGTCTTCCGGAATGCCTTCACCTCCGTCAGCAGCTGCTCCCCCAGCAGGGCCAGCATCCTGACCGGCTTACCCCAGGTAGGGCCTTCCCGAGCCACGCGCTGGGCAGGGAGGGGGTGGTTCTGCTGCCTCAGGCGCTTGCTAGTCCTTCCCTAGGCCCATCAAGGCTCGTTCCCTACACTCCCTGCTCTGGGGCTTTGTCCATGGCTCAAGCGATGAGTCTTCCCCCCCTTTCCCTTGATGGCCTATTGCCCAGCCCCAATGTCTGGTGCCTCGGTGGTAGCACACGCTCAGCCCGTGGCACCTGAAGACGGCCGTGGTTTGGCTCTGCAGGGCGGCCGGTGCAGGGACGTGCATTCCTGGCCAATTTGTCTCGTTGTTGGTCTCTGTTTTGCAGCACCAAAATGGGATGTATGGGCTGCACCAGGACGTGCACCATTTCAACTCCTTTGACAAGGTGCAGAGTCTTTCCCTGCTGCTCAGCCAGGCACAGATCCGGACAGGTAAACAGCCAGGGGGTGGGAAGAGAGGAGAGTGGAAGAGTGTGCAAAGCCATTCCCTTTCCCACACCCGTCTCACTGAACCCCATCCCCGCGTGTGAGAGATGGGCAGCGAAACGTGTGCCTAAGATACCACCCCACTAGACAAGTTTCATTAAGTCTCTCTCACACACACACACACACACGCACACCCCACTAGACAAGTTTCATTAAGTCTCTCACACGCACACACACGCACACCCCACTAGACAAGTTTCATTAAGTCTCTCACACACACACACACACACACACTTTAAATCAAAGCGATTGACATCACCAATTTAGACATGATTTAAATCACAAGTTTAACCTTGCTTTGCATTTGTCCTTCTCTCATTTGCCTAAAGAAAGGTCGATTCTCATTGGCTGGTAACCATTCAAACCTGTCACTTTGCAGCTAAATATGCCGCCTTTATACTACTTGGTGCTTCGTTTTGCTAACCAGGAGGATGCAAACATGTATTGCTAAATACTACTTTTTTTAAACTTAATTAAAATTATTTTAATAGACAATAAGTTTAGGCCTTAACATAGGTGGTCAGTATCAAATTTAATTTTAAATAGGTCTGTTTTTTAAATTAAACCTGGATTTAATTTAAATTTTAAAAATCCAATTTTAATTTAAAAAAATCTTTTTTTATTCATCAACTTTTATCGATCCTGCTCCCACACCCCAGCTTGACTCTGCATTTCTGCCTGGACTAGTCACTTTCACTTCTGTATCTAGAGACCCAGTGGCCTCTATAGGCCTAATGTGGTTGCGCAAGCCAGTGTTTCCCTGCTGCCCCAAGCATCAGAGCAGGACAACTCCTAACCCCGCCCCGGGGGAGCATGGAAAGACCGAAGCAGCATCCTCTGCTGTAACTGCCTGTCACATGCTTGCTCCTGACGGGCCGGGCTCTTTCTCCTGCAGGGATAATTGGGAAGAAGCACGTTGGGCCGGAGACTGTGTATCCCTTTGATTTTGCGTACACTGAGGAGAACAGTTCTGTGCTGCAGGTGGGCAGAAACATCACCCGGATCAAACGGCTCGTCCGGAAATTCCTGCAGAGCCAGGACGAGAGGTGAGGCCCTGCACGCCCCACCTCAGGATTCTCTCTGGGCCTGAGCAACCTTGCCTCCTAGCACCCTGGTCCTGATGCACAGGGTACCCCTGTGCCTGAGTTACAGGGAGATGCAGCGGTCAGCACCTTCCATCAGGTTACCAGCTCCTCTCGGGGGCTCTATGGGAACCAGCTTTGTCTTCAAGTCCCAATTCATCACAGGTGAAATGAGCTGACGTTTCTCTGTGCAGGTAGCCCCAGGCTTTGGTTGGAGCCGGTTGGAGGCCGTGAGCTAGTGTTATCACTGGCCCAGGGCTAGGGTTAGGACTGGGGTCCGTGGGATGCCTCAGGCCATGCTTGAGCAGTCCTTTCCTGCTCGGCCCGTGCCGTCAGCCTCTCCCGAGAGCTGCAGTCACAAGCTCTCTTCTCGGGATTTCCAGGCCGTTCTTCTTGTACGTCGCCTTCCATGATCCCCATCGCTGCGGCCACTCCCAGCCCCAGTACGGGGCCTTCTGTGAGAAGTTCGGCAATGGCGAGAGCGGCATGGGCTGGATCCCCGACTGGAAGCCCCAGACGTACAGCCCAGAGCATGTGCAGGTAGGACAGGGCCGTTGGGAAGCAGCTGCCCACGCTCCAGGCCAGAGCACGGCGGCACAGCGGGGAAGAAGGCTCCTGCAGGCAAAGCTGTGGAGTGACTCGGGGTGACCCTGGCCCTTCTCCCCCCCTCCACCCCCACCCCAAGCAGTTACGGGGGATGAGTGGGGTTAGGAGGGGAGCAGCCCTGAGCACGGAGATGGAGCCACGGTCACTGGCAGGGGCTCTGTCCTCAGTTTAGCTCTGCCGCCTCCTGCGTCCCCTCCCCACGGCTCTTGGAGCCTCCAGCGCTTAGCAGCTGCTGCGTTTCCTCCCCCCGCAGCTCCCGTACTTCGTTCCAGACACTCCAGCCGCTCGCGCTGACCTGGCCGCCCAGTACACAACAATCGGGCGCATGGACCAAGGCAAGTACCCGCTGTGGTCGGGCAGCAGGACGTGGGGGCCCGAGCCCCCAGCGCAGGGTCTTGCTGGGCGAGAGGAGAAAACCCACCCTCAGCTGGGGTGGGGAGCTGGGGCTGGGATGGAGGCAGCCGTCCTGCTGGGTGAAAGTGCAGGGGCCCCCCGGCAGCCACACAGCTCTGCTCTTCTCTCTGCACGCAGGGATCGGGCTGGTCCTGGAGGAGCTGCGCAGCGCCGGCTTGCACAACACCACGCTGGTGATTTATACCTCTGACAACGGCATCCCCTTCCCCAGCGGCAGGACCAACCTGTACTGGTCGGGCACTGCTGAGCCCCTGCTGGTCTCCTCCCCCGAACACCCCGAGCGCTGGGGGCAGGTCAGCCAGGCTTATGCCAGCCTGCTGGGTAAGAGCGGTCACTTCCTCTCTGTGGGCTAGGCAGGGGCTGGGGTCATTAGGGGAGTTGGGTGGGGGCCCCGGTACAGTGCTGTGTAGAGCGATGCCAAATCATGTGTCGTCTCCCCCGCCCATGCCCTGACACCACGGGCATGGCTGGGGTGAAGCCCTGGCTCCACAGCCCGAAAGGCGACTCTCCCCGCTGGATGGATTTGCTTGTCTTTCCGAAAGAGAGTGAGCCGTGTAATCCCCAATGCCATGGGAACGAGTCTGGGGCCGGAAGGAGGAGGATGGAGTCTAAGAGCATGAAGGTGCCCAGCCCCCAGGGAGAGGGGATTGTGGGATAGGTGGGTAACCCCCTGGATGTACAGGGCCGGCCCCAGCTCCAGAGGGCTCACAAGCCAACAGGGGACAATGGCTCAGAGCTGCAGCAAGGTGGGTGGATCAGTGCGGGAGGGAGGCCTGGAGGAAGTGGGTGGTGAAGGAGAAAAGGGCACCGGGGCAGGAAGCGGGAGGCTGTTCCCCGCACAAGGGGAGCCCAGCAAAGGCACGAGGCTGAGTGTGGAAAAAGAGGAAAGGGGCCGTGAGGAGAGAGGCCCGGGAGCCCTGTCCTCCAGCGGCTCGTGCCGGTGACTGACTCTCCCTGGCGGCCCCACAGGAATGTCAGGGAGCACCCGTCACTCCCGCAGGGCCCAGCTGCAATTCCTGGGACGGCCTCCACCCTCCCGCTGGGTTCTGCCCCCTCCTCTCGGGTCCGAGTGTCTCTTCAGGGGCTGTTCTGCCCCACTCCTCTTGCCAGTTGCAGACGTCGCCCTCTTTTCCCCTCTCCAGATCTCACGCCCACCATCTTGGACTGGTTCGCCATCCCCTATCCCAGCTACAGCATCTTCGGCACCAAGACAGTCCAGCTCACCGGGAAGTCGCTCCTGCCAGCCCTGGTGTTGGAGCAGCCCTGGGTCACGGCCTTCAGCAGCCAGAGCCACCACGAGGTCACCATGTACTACCCCATGCGGGCGATTCAGCACCAGCAGTTCCGCCTGATCCACAACCTCAACTTCAGGATGCCTTTCCCGATCGACCAGGACTTCTACGTCTCGCCAACCTTCCAGGACCTGCTCAGCCGGACCAGAGCCCGGCAGCCGACCCACTGGAACAAGACCCTGCACCAGTACTATTACAGGGACCGCTGGGAGCTGTTCGACCGGAGCAGCGATCCCACCGAGAGCCGGAATCTGGCCTCCGACCCCCAGTACGCCGAGGTCTTGGAGCTGCTCAAAGCCCACCTGTTGAAGTGGCAGTGGGACACTAATGACCCTTGGGTGTGTGCCCCAGACGGCATCTTAGAGGAAAAACTGAGCCCCCAGTGCCAGCCCCTTTACAATGAACTGTGAGTCACCGGCTCACCTTGCGGGAGTCCTGTCTGCATTCCTTCCACCAGCCCAGCCCCGGGTCCTGCTTGGCCCTCGGCTCCTCCCCAAATCCTGACACAGCCCCAGAACCCCCAAGGGAACAGCTAGCTCGTCTGCCAAATGAGACATCAAGTGCCTAAACATGCAGCCCCCGGGCTCCAGGGTCCACAGGGCGACCCCGCAGCCACGCCAGAGCTCCAGCCACCCTCCGTCTAGCACAAGGTGGGGCAGCAACCAGAGACGGGCTGGTCCCACTCCCCCATTCACACAACTGGCGTGTGCTTTGTGTGTCAAAACAGCATCTGCCCCTGAAGCTCAAATGGGACATTTTCCTCCTCAGTGGGGTGTCATCGCACCCGGCAACAGGCAGCGCTGGACTGCAGCCAACCTGAAAGCTGTCAAATGCATGATCTCAATAAAGTCGCTGGGAAGAGAATGTCCTCGGCTTACTCACAAGCTAACCTCTGTGCCGATCTCCTGCTGAAGCCACTTCTCACTGCAGCTCTTCCTGCGGTGGCTCCAACAGCACCTCCTGCAGCCGGAGGTTGGGACTGGTGCTGCTGGGAGCTCCCCACATCGGGGCTTTTGCCCCATTTGCCAGGGAGTCTCCTGCTGGCCATGGAGGAGCTGAGAGCCCCCTCTCCTTAGGGCCGGTACATTGGATTTGGTGTCACCACCTCCGGGAGGGCCAGGAGGGGTCTGAACACGCAGCGACTGTCAGTAACAACACGGTTTAATTTAGCAAACTACAGAATTAGCAGTCCTTGGAACGAGCACGTCCTGTTCAGTCCTGGCTCCCTGCTCTCCCCAGGGCTGTGGGAGCAGGGTGCACAGAGAGCCTGAGGGAGCTGGGATACCCAGTACAACGAGGCAGACCCGTGGGGGCAGCTAACCAGGGAGGAGCCTGCGTGGCGGGGGACACAGCAAGGCCTACAGGAGTGGCTGTTCCCTCCCTGTGCAGGCGGGCTGGCGACTGCACTTCCGAGCAGCTAGTGCCAGGCTGGGAGAACAGGTGGAGGTGGCCCAGGCAGAGGTGCCCTGCCCACCCCGGGGACCCGCCCTGGCACCAGGGACACTGTTCAAAGGCAGCCGCCCTTTCACACCATGACAGGGGTGGCATTAAAACCAGCCTCTCTCCCTGAACTAGAGTTACTGTGTTTCTCTGCCAACAGGGCAGAGGCCAGCTGGGCAGGTAGGGGGCTCACCCAGCGCTGCGAAGTCCATTAACCCTTTAGGTAAGAGGGTCTTTCAAACCTCTCCCTCCCCACACCCCAAACCAAACTCTTGGTTTAAATAGGTGACATTTGCAGAGTTGCCAAGGTGACGGTTCCCCCTGCCCCACCCTGTGTCCAGGGAGATCAGTGACGATCTTGTTCTATCCACACGATCTTCTTCTGCTCATTGGCGACGGCTGCTCGCACGGCGCTGACAAGCGCATCCAGGTCGCTCCAGGTGTTGGGGGCGAGGGTGCCGTACAGGCAGGGCACTTTCTCCAGCTGGGCCTCCTCTCTCCGCACACAGTCCAGAAGCTGCTCCTCTGTCGCTCCGAGACGCTGCAGTGCCTTCCTGAAACAGAGCCCGCGGGAGACTCCGTGAGGGGACGCCCTGAGCCGCGTGACCAGCACAAAGCCGGCTAGCGGCGGAAGAGGCAGTGATTGAAAAACTCTCGGTGACTTTAGAGCCAGGATTTCACTGTTTGTCCAGTGGCTAGACAAGGGGATGGAGTCAGGGCGCCTGGGTTCTAGGCCTGCCTCCTGCCGGGAAGTGTGGTTTAGTGACTGTGCAATACACATCACAGTAGTGGGCAGCTGGGAGGCCGGACTCCTGGGTTCCAGTCCCAGCTCCGGCACTGACGAACCACCTGAGCATGAGCATTTTACCTTCCGTGCTCAGGTTGGACGATACCTGCCCTGGGGAAGTGTCTTGAGTCCCCCCAAGAAACGGGGCTGTAGAGGCCACAGGGTTATTGTTCAAGGCCCCTGGTGTGGGCACAAACATTCCCTCAGCAATGCAATGGGGAAGGGCTCACCCCGGCCAGGCGGCTGGGTGCTATTGGACTGTCTTTACATCAATCACTGGTGCAGCCAACCACGGGGGCACCCTGTGGCTCATTCACATCCCCTCCACTGGGTACACGCAGGCATTCAGCTGCTGCAGCCGTGGCACGAGGCACCCAGGGGAGGGCAGGCCCAGACCCTCACTCCCCAGAGCTCCAGCAGCCTCCGGTAAGCAGGAGACGTTTGCCCTGAGGGGCCCCAGCAGCCCGTCTCCGCCCAGAATGCTGGTACGTACTTGAGCTTCTTGGCGTTCTTCTCGCTGATGGAGATGAGGAGGAGGATGGGATAGATCCCCGCGGCGTGCAGGGCTTGCACGCACTCCAGCCCCACGTCCAGCAGGCTGTGCACGTCCTAGAGAGAGCCAGGGAGAGAACGCGAGGGGCTGGCACCAAGCGGGCTCACTGGGAAGGGACAGGCGCTGGCCAGGGCTGGCGCTGCTGGTGAGCGGACAGGCCCTGGCAAGAGCCAGAGAGTCTGCGGCCAGGGAGCATTACAGAGTCCATGGCTATGCTCTGGCTAGATTCACCTCTCTGCTGCCCAGCGGGGGAGCCGCAGGCACTGGGATTAACGGACGGATGGATGCAGATGCCTGGTGGGGTAGCGGGGAGGTTTGGCAGGTCTCGGTGCAGTGTCTGTAAGTGCCTCTGTCCCATCTGCTCCTAACCCAGCCATGGCAGGTACCCCTCCTACCCGCGGGCCCTGCAGCTCTCCCCGGGCGGCCTTCGAGGGGATGCAGGTAACAAACATCAACTGACCTGCTGCATGTTTGAGACCAGAAACCCTTCACTCTCCTCCCGGCCCCACGCTGCCAGCTGCTGGCTTCCCGGTCAGGGAAGGCTCTGATAGTCGGAGCCCAGAGCACCCATCTCAGTCCCGCCTGCCCCCGGCCCCACACCTGTTACCTTCTCCAGCAGCAGCTGAAGCGCCTTGCGTGTGACACAGCAGCGGCTGTCCGGCTCCCGCTGTTCCTGGACCAAGCTTCTGTTCTGGGCCGTGCATTCAGCCTCACACAGGAGTCCTGGGCGGAGGGAAAGTAGGGAAGGTGCCAAGTGAAGTTGCCAAGTCTGATTCGCTGGAAGTGGCCTCATGGGGGTCCCCCCACATGTCACCTCAGGCAGCATGGGCCTCTGAGAGGGGGAGACTCACCCAGCAAAGCAGCGCTGGCTCCCGTGACAGCCTGAGGGCACCAGGGATGTGAACTTGCAGCCCTGAGATGCTCCACCCAGATGGGGGAGATCAGCCGGCTTCAGCGGCGGGGCACGGAGGGAGCGGGGTAGCAGGGAGCAAGCCCTGAATGCTGCCAGCCCTGGCCCCTGGATCCACGCCCCTGCATGAGCACAAGGGATGGGAGCCTGCACCCAGCATGGCCATGGCAGGATGTCCAAGGGTGAGAGGATGCCGCAGGGACGTACCTGACGGGCATTTCTCAAAGCCCTTGGTGAGGCACAGTTTGTCGCTCAGGATCTTCCCCAGCAGCGTGGGCACAAAGAGAACCGGGCGCAGCTGGGCCAGCTTGTGGGGTCTCACCAGCGTGTATGGCATCAGCGTGAAGCAGCTCCCTGCCTGCAGGCAGATCCGGGGGCAGGCTGGGCAGACACAAAGGGACAGCAGGACGGTCAGGTGAACCCAGGGCAGGGGAACCCCGGTTACTGCCAGGCAGCTGCAGGGCTGGGGCTACTCTGGGGAGGCGGATTCGTGGCAGCTGGCACAGGGCCTGGCATCAGCAAAGGGAACGCAGCGGGCAGCTGAGTGCGACAGCAAGAACAATCTAGCCTGTGCCCTTGTTCATCAGACAGCCAAGGCTGGATTTCTAGGGGGGCTAACGCTGGGATTCACCTGGCCAGCCCCGGGAGTCAGGCTCTGGGCTCTCCGACAGCTCTAGCTAACAACGCACCGTCCGCCTTGTTGGGATCGTAGACGTTACAGTCGATGGACGACCACAGAGGGTTGATCTTGCTCTTGTCTGTGCTGATGATCCGCACCAGCTTTGGCTGCCCCCCTGAAGACTGCAGATCGGAGAGGAGAGGCCTTGAGTTAGCCCCCAGGGATGGAGAGCAGCCCCCCTCCCCACCGGTGAGACGCCAGCCCGGACACCAGCATTCAGCAGCTGTCTGACTTGCTGCAATGATTGCTCACCGTAGGCCAAGCGACGGCCCCTGGATACCGCCCAGCCCACCGTGCGGCATTAACCTCCACCCCTGGGCTGCCCCAAGCCCGCGGCACGGCGTTCAGTGCTGACAGACTGTCCCATTCCCCTCTCCCACGGCTGCAGCACCTCTGCGGGGCCCTGCTCAGAGGCACAGCAAGTGAATCTCTCCCCAGGGATTCTGCGCACCCAGGCCTCCAGGCCGGGTCCCCTGCGCCCCAAGTTCTGTTACCTTCCGAGCAGACGTGGTCTGCTGGGCCATGTCCTGGATAAGGCCGATGAGCCGTTGATGAGCCCTAGAGAGCGGGGGAAGCAGAGCGTGGTTGGTTAGAGAGGGGATTAGCTAGCCCCAGGCAAGGGGGCAGGTATCTCAGCCAGTGAGCCCTTCCCATGCACGCTGGGCTGCCGCAGCCACATAAGAGCCACTGACTTGGAGCCAAAGAAAAGCATCAAAGAGTCCAGGTCACAAGCAGACAGCTGGCTGGGCTGGAAAGGAGCTGGCAGACCATGGGCATGTCTGTGCCATGCCAGAAAGGGGCATTAAATACCCTGAGGCAGCTGCAAAAGCAGCAGGAATATTAATCTGGGGAATGAGGCTGCAGGCATCTTGGAGGTTTCGATGGGCTGCAGCCCCCCTCCCCACCAGTGCTGGGACACGTCTGCCTGATGAGCCCAGTACACCCCTGCTCTTGGTGGGTGGAGGCTGCGGGGCTGGGGGAGGTACATTCTCTGGGGCTGTGCCACACTCTGCAATGCCCAAGAGGAGCTGTGCTAGGCTGGTACCACATGGGCACATCTATCAGCAGCTGCGCCAGGCCAGGGAAATGCTCTTTGCTGCATGGGATCATCGATCAATGCCACTCCCTGGCAGGGCTGTGTTGCATGAAGGGGACTGTGCAGGCAGAGCTCTGACACCGAGGAGCAGGCTCCCCCCGGCACGCTGGACTGGCCACTCACTGGTAGTAGTTGGGGACGATGCCTGCGTCCATGTCCTTCATGCTGTAGGGATTCACCCGGCAGGCACTCCACTGGCTCTCGCCAAAGAACATGGTGTCCGTGACGTGGAGGATGTCATTGCACTGCACCGGCAGCTCCCCCGCTGCCTTCCCTTCCAGGGCCAGGTTGGCCCGGATGTAGAACGAGTCACCCGAGGTCACCACCTTGTTCTCTAGGTCACTCACCAGCCTCTTGTAACCTGGAGAGCAAGAGAGGAGGGCAGCAGGGCGTGGGGGAGGCGAGTGTGCAGCAGGGCATGGGCAGGGGAGTGTGCAATGGGGAGGGGAGCGTGCAGCAGGGCATGGGCAGGGGAGTGTGCAATGGGGAGGGGAGTGTGCAGCAGGACATGGGTAGGGGAGTGTGCAGTGGGGAGGGAGTGCAGCAGGGCATGGGCAGGGGAGTGTGCAATGCGGAGGGGAGTGTGCAACGGGGAGGGGAGTGTGCAGCGGGGAGGGGAGCGTGCAGCAGGGCATGGGCAGGGGTGTGTGCAACGGGGAGGGGATGCATTGGGGCCGGGAGGACGTGCGGCTACAGCAGGAGGGACTGGGGCAGACTGGAAGGGATTACGGGGGCGGGAACCATGCAGGGGACTGAAGCAGGGAGATGGGAGGGGGATGTGCTAATGAGCAGCAATTGCCTCTGGGCGCCCCTTGCCTTGGCAGAAGGCTGCAGCCCTTCCCCATTGCGCGTGGCTGGAGGAGCCAGCGGCGGTGGATGGATGCAGGCTGAGGAGGGCACGAGAGGGACTTACCCTCCATGTTCATTCTGACTGACAGGCAGCAGAAGCCATTCACCCTCTTCAGGACCCAAAGCGCCTCCTCCAGGGTTGCATCTTCCAGGATGGCCTTGAATGCTGGGTCTGTGACTTCATAATCCACCTGCAGGGGGCACCAGGTGCAGAGAGATGGGGTGGGCTTAGCAAAGAGAACGCTCACCTGGGGGCCCGCAGCCCCGTCCGACCCGACGTCTGGGAGAGACGCACATTCGGGCAGAATGAACTCTCCCCATCTGCTCCCCAGCACCCCGGAGCGGTGGGGCTGCCCGGCCGGGGACTCAGGGTCATGAGGGGGGAGCAGAGACCTGGCTATTCAGGAGTGAATTGGAAGGACAGACAGGGCTAGCAGGACACTTGCATGCAGCCGGTGCCATTAGGCACAAAGAGCCCAGCTGCAAGGCAGGCAGCAGATATCCTGGGTCAATCAGTCTGTTAGCTGGGTCTGGGCACCAGCCCCTCAGGCACAGTGAACGGGCCCTTGCAAGCTTCTGGCATATCCCACTCGCTTCCCCCCACCAAAATGCAGCCACCCCAGGAGGGGAACTTGGCGGCTGCCCAGCAGAACGACCCAGCTCCTTGGGGCAGGAGTGGAAAGGGATCTCCTTGCTGCATGGGAACCGCAGGGCACGTGAGAGAGGACGAATGGGGAGACCTCGGCCGGAGCGCTGGGTCCAGCTCTGGACATCGCGCTTTAAGAAACGTGGACAGACTGGAGAGAGCCCAGAGGAGAGCAACAAAAATGACCCAAGGTTTTGAAAACCTGACCTCTGAGGAAAGGTGAAAACGCTGGGCTTGTTTAGTCCTGAGAAAAGAAGCCGGGGGCGGGGAGGGGGCGGGGAGGGGGC